AAATATAAAAGAAAGAGAGCTGTGTAAGAATTCTGTGAATGTACTACTAAAAGTAAAGCTCTAGCTCGCAGGAATTCCTGTGCACTGTGGTCTGCGAACACACTGCATCAGTAATTGAATGTGTTTCAGAGTGAATGTGAATATCAGGGCTGATTTAGTGAACAAGCCATTCGAAAGAACAGATTCTTGTGATTCAGTACAGTGAAAAGACCGGCCGCTCCCATCACAGATTACCTTGCATTTTTTTGGAACAGGGTTGTGTTCCCTTGTACTAATCTCGAGCAAATGACAAGAACTGCTATGAAAAGCAGACTGGTCTCTTGGATTTGTTATTGGAAACTAACACGGGGAAGAGATGACACAACTTCTCTACCCACACACTGGCCCCTCAGTTCTTTGAATAAAAATGTTGGGACTTGAAAAAGTAAATGATCTATTTAAATACCAGGAAACAATCTTGACACATCAAATATTCCCTGAGTTGTGGGTGGATGTTTATATAAGTCCTGTCCATCTGGGATAAAGATCTTCACACTGCTTCATTTCTTTTTTTGTTGTGGGAAGATGCTGGGGGAGGGTGGGTGTAACAGCAAAGAACATTAAACTTAAAAAAAAAAAAAAAAAAAAAAAAAAACTTAAAATGCACCTTTCTCTCCTGTCTTTTTTCCAACCTCAATTCCCATCGCGAATGTGTCGGCGAGCTTGTGCTATCCAACGAGATGAAAAGTACAGGCCATCCCTTTGAAATCCTCCTCAAGTCAAAATTACCATTTCATTTCAACTCCAGCCAGGAAACGGAAAGCTGCTAACTGCTTTGGGCATGTTGTTTGTAAACTTTGGAGGAACATTGTTGCCTGGGAAAATGTGTTGTGTGGGTGGTGGAAGTAAGCAGTTGGAGCAACCACAAAGGGAGAGATCAGGCCTATTTTCTCCGTAGGAGGAGCACATAAAAGTGAAAATAATGTTCTTTATTACAGAAAAACAGCATTAGCCTTCGGTGCTCCTCATAACATACCGTTAAACTGGCAAAAGTTGCCACCAAAGCTACAAGCAGTTGACCCTACTCGAGAAACCGAACACTTATTTCTCATGCTCTAATGAGTCCACTTTCATTGTTAAAGGGGTCATTATCTGAGCTGGAGGTAACTGCTTTTTCCACGGTGGTCACATTAAAGCATTGTATAGTTTTATTGAGTTGGCTTTACTGACCTCTCCACTGCTGTCACAAGTGCCACGTAACAGAGGGGTTGAAATCGGGTTGCCGATGAGTGCACACATCCTTGTTTTGCGCAAGTCATGTTGGAAATTCTATTATGCATACATTATTTAGATCAGGGGTGTCAAACTCATTTTTGTCGCGGGCCACTTTGGAGTTACTTACGTCTTCCCTCGGAGAGCCATTACGACAGTGAAACCGAATAAATGTTTAATCATCACATTGTATTATATTACTTGTACACAACAAGTCAAATTGATGGATTACTAGTTTTGAAATCAGTCAAATGTTTGTTTGTTGCTTGTTCAATTATTTTCCAAGTGAGTGTAAACAGGGTAAAAAAAAATGTTGGAAAATCTCAACGTTATTTATTACACGTGACAATATGACATTTCGCTCCAGATTTGAGCAAGGGTCGTGGAAATTGACACACAATTTGCTTTCGCGGGCCACATAAAATGACGTGGTGGGCCGGATCTGGCCCCCGGGCCTTGAGTTTAACACCAGTGATTTAGTTCATGGATGGCTTGAATTGAGCTTAGGTGCTACTTATTTTTGTCAATACTAAGAAACGTGTTAAAAAACATGCAGGCATGGAAAGCCCTAACTGCACAGAGAACAAAAGATGTTGAAAATATACGACTAAAACTACCTCTGAAGTGAAATAAAATGTATTTTGACACACAGCTGAGAGGTGTGTTGTTAAAAAGCCTGTCAAATTTACCCCTTCCAGGGACAGTGGACAGCTTATCATGTTCTATCAGGTTACAGGTTACAAAAAAAGGAAAAACTGAGCCATACTCTCAGCTTTCAGATGTTGTGGGGGTGTGGACTGAATGCTGATCTGCCGCAATATATACCACCTAAAGCGTAGGTGTCAAACTCGGGTCCTCGAGGGCCGTTAACCCTGAATGTTTTCCATCTCTCCCTGCTGCAGCACACCTGATCAAGTTATCAAAATCATTAGCAGGCTCCAGCAGAGCTTGCTTATGAACCAATCATTTGAATCAGGTGTGTTGCAGCAGGAAGAGATGGAAAACATTCAGAGTAACGGCCCTCAAGGACCCGAGTTTGACACCTGTGAAGCCTCGGGTGCCTGCAGAATATCTGCCATGCAGCTGTCAAAGGTCTTTTCCATGTCAGGCTAGCAGGCTTCTGGACACCACGGAGCACAAAGTTGCCCAATATGTTATCGAATTGCTTGGTGTTGTCATGTATGGGTCCACATAACAGTTAGCTGTTAACTGTTTTTGAAAGACAGTGTCACGCATTTTATGCCTCACACTGACAGATTTGAGCACGTACTTCCTGTTAGTTCTAAACTCCACCATGCTTTATGTTTCAACATATTATCCTCGCCCGAATAACACAAACTTCATAACATATCAGATATTAAATGCTGACATTGAGCTGTTCTGGAAGGTGGGGCATCCAAGGTAAAATGCAATTTTTGGGTTATAGACATATGATAGCTTGCTCGGCACAATAATTGCATGCTGTCATGGAAGAAATTGTGCTTAGAATAAAAAAATAAAACTAAAATAAAATAAATAAAAAAAACGTATTACCTGGCAATTGCACATGCATGCACAAATTGGTCCAGAACAGCGCGCAAACCCACAACCACACCCTCGCCCACACCCACACACAGACACGTAGCGTGAAATTGTTAAAGCACAGCTGCATTCAATGTTAACTGACTTTTTTTTTTTGCTGACTTTTGTTAATGTTGATGATTGTCAGTTAGTTCTCGTTAAAAAAAATGCCGCTTTCCACATCCTTTTGAATTTATAGTTTGCTTTGAAAAAAAAGGGTGATTTCACTGAACCATGAATATCAAAATAAGAAATTGTGTCTGTAATGCTGTTATAAACAAAGACACATCCCTCTTATAATTGTTTCAGTTATTTATTTTTGCTTTCGGAAAGATTTTTTTAAAATGGAATACAGATTATCGGCCAAATTATTGGTGGAAAAAATATTTGAAATTATTGATCGCCTTCGCATATTGTAAATCTCAGAAAGCTAGAATTTGAACAGGGGCGTAGTAGCGTAGCACCAAATTCTGGACCCCCAGAAAGGCTCCTTGAATGTCTCCACAGCCCAGCCAAAGCCCACCCACACTGCCCCACATACACATATACTGCAGTCTATCCCAAAGATGTTTTACAATGGTTTGTGAATTGTGCTGTTTTAAGTTTGAGCTCACAGGATTGGATAACAAAATGCATGCCTATCAATGACCCCGAAGGTAGACTATCACGAAACGATTATAATTTCTTCGGCACATGTACAGTAAATGTGCAAGGCCCTTTCAGATCTAGTTAATGCCATGACATCAACTTTTATTTTTTAATGATAATAAGCACCCACGTCATCAATGACATCTAACAAACATGTTTTAAAACTAGGAGGTTTCTAATAAGAGCAGAATGTATGACAAATAGAATGATTGTGCATAACTCTGGCGTGTTAATTGATACAGACCTCTTACGCTTCATGCACTCTGGGAGGCTAATGCATGTATTTCACCAAAAAGAGCCCTATAATTGGTTAGCAACAGCCAATCTCTGAATATGAATCCAAGGTCTTATTTTGACTATTTCTATTTCCATTCCAAAGAATATATCCTATCTGATCTCTCATTACTTTATTATTATCACTGTTCATTTTAAATTATTTACTTTTTAAACATTGGCTTTTTTCCCCCTTTTTAACCAAAATAAAATAGAAATAATTGAATTGAAATTCATTTCAATACAAACTTTCAAACACAAATAATACATTTCCACTCATTTTTTTTCATTTGTGGATTCAATTGAAATTTACTCCAGCACGTACAATAAGTAGCATAGCAAGTGTAGATGTCACTTTTTTCTCTAGCACTTTATATTAGAGCGCATAATGTTGGCAACATCAACATTACAGTATATTGTTGCTGTATTTTCAACAGAACCCCAGCTACAGATTCAGAGGGTTGTGGTGGATCTACCCGATTGGGTGGAGCCTGTGATAAGTTTATTCGTGATCCTGAATGTAAACGCTGACAAGCCATCATGAAATAACATGCTAACGACTTGATCCACATGACTGCGGTGGAATAAAAGAGTAGTCAAGTATTCCTGCATTGAACTGCCACTGAGACTTAAAGGAGAGCGTGACAAACGTTCACTCCCTCCTCCATGTCACATCCCCTCACACCAAACTTGGGCGATACCGTATGATTAAAACCAAAATTGCGCTATAGCGTTCGGACTGAACCCAGCCTCTCAAAAAGAAAACCCTTCTTTCCCAATCCCACCTCTCCTGGCAGCCTTGTACCTCAGCACACTGTTTATGCAACCATAAATGACTCGCGTTGAAACCATTTTGCATTTTTGCAAGGTTTTCAGACAGTCTCAATTTAATTAAAGCAACACTATTAATGAACGTGCACAGCAAATTGTACTTTATTTTAGCTATTTAGAACAGGGGTGTCAAACTCATTTTTTGTCGCGGGCCACCTTGTAGTTACGGTTTCCTTTGGAGGGCCGTTATGATTGTGAATTTTGTGAAAGCATACAAATGTTTAACCACCTCCAAATATTACATACACAGCGAACAACAAATAGATGGGTAACTAGTTTTGACATCAGAAGTCAAGAATAATGGATTGTGCAAACATTGTAATTCTTACATTATAGATGACAATTTGAAATTTTGGTTCAGACTTTAGCAAGCATCATGGAAGTTGACATGCTTGAATTGCTTTCGCAGGCCGCATAAAATGATGTGGCGGGCCAGAGCTGGCCCCTGGGCCTTGACTTTGACATCTGTGATTTAGAAGATGTTTTTATGACTGACATATGTAAATAAAAGCAAAAAAATCTTAACCACATTGTAACAGGGGCATGTTTGGAAAATCTTAATTCGGCAGTTGGACCTGCGGTATAAATCCAGCCTAAATGACCATTAAAAGTTTCTGAAATATGTTGTGTTTTTTGTTGTTGTTGTCACAAAAAAGAGATAACTGTGGCTTTAAAAGAATGAATTTAACTAAACATTCATTGTGGTAAATATAAGTCCTGTCCTGTTTCGTCCTTCCAAGCGATATGGCTCTAGATATTTACCAAAAACACTTTGAATGTAAATGTTAAACAAAACTTTTTTGGTGTGTTCTTTGTATGGTTTATATAATTCTTTGCGAAAATTAAGCAAAACAGTCTGTTGGGTCTGTTGGGTGTTGCATAAAAATATATAGGTCGGATCATTTTTGTTTGATCAAACAGCCCTGCTCAACGTTCACCTCTATTAATTTTTACTGGCCCTCGAAACATATTTATGTAAACAAGGGCTGTTTAGCTGAACTGCAGTTGGTTGTCATTGGGGACAAGAACTTTTACCTCAGCTTCCTTTCTTGTTGTGCATGCTGGCGGTGTGTTTGGAAGGCCCACTTCTGAGCTGCAAAGAAAATGCAACAAAACAGAGGAAGATTACGTGAGGGTTGTAGAAACAAACAAAGATATGACAGTTGGAAGGATGGAGAAACAAACAGGAAGACCAACCAGATGAAAACAAAAAGGGATTTTGTGACGAGATCATCTTACAGGAAGCACACGCTCTGATAATTTTGCCACTGACCTCTTGTGTGCAGGCGTGTGTGGGGGTGGGAGGGGAGACGACAAGAGCTCTGTTGGCCCCATCTGCATGTCATGTCCCTGGTTATGTGACCATGTGCAGCATCTGGCCCCACGCCAGCACCCAACACCCCTTTGTGGTGGCCACAGTGGCCGGTTGGGATCGGACTTTGATCCTAGGCCAACTATTCATCTCTAAAGGAAGAGGAAAAGCAAAAAAAAAAAAAAAAAAAAAAAAAAAGAATCCGGTAAACAGAAAAAAAGGGAGGGGGAGAAGGAATAAAAGTCAACCTCTACTGCCAATTATTGGAGGAACATCAAGGTCTTTCCTGCCTGTGTAAAAAGCAAGAGCAGAGAAGAGGGGAGCTGTTTGATGGTTTGATTCAGGTTAGTGGTGAGGCTGGTCAAGATTGAAGCTGACTTACAAGATGTGATCATTGCTGTGAACAGGTTTTGCATGTCTGCTATGACACATTAAAAAAAAAAAAGTTCAACATTCCCTTATTTAGGGCAGCATTGTGCAGTGGTTAGCACACGTGCCTCACATTTCTGAGGTTGGGGGTTTGAATCCGGGCTGCAGCCTTGCTGGAAGCAGTTTGCAAGTTTGCCTCATTGTTCTGTGGGTTTGCACTTTCTCCCACATTCCAAAAACATGCATGTTAAGTTCCATTTAAAACTAGAGCTGTCATGATGCCAATCATGTTGGTATCAGAATCGGTGCCAATCGAAACCTTTTGATATTTTTTCAAATTTATCACACAGCACAAAAACAAGCTTTTCTACTGCACATAATTTTCAACTGAAAAAAACAAAACAATTCAAAACACTGACATTTTCTTATTTCACTCAAAACACTTTTGGAACAGTGAAATAGAAGTCCAAACACTCGGTGCTCAGCGTTTTTTTAGAAAAGTTAGTACTGTAACTAAATAAAAACTATTATATCTGAACAATGAGAAAAAAAAACAAATTATTCACGACTATGGACGCAAGAACCCCTATTTTTCTTTCAACATTAGGTCTCTTCTCCTAACTCACTCGCTTGTCTACTATTGGGGTGCGGATTCTAGAGCGTCTGACTCAAGTCTATTTGCTGTTGTTCTTATCAGAGGAGGGCATATTGTTTATATTTATATATTTATGTCTGTCTTTTTATGCAGTTGTTTTACTGCCCTTATTTTTAGCTGTGTGTGTTTCAATGCACTACATATTTGCACTGTGGTTGAGAGGAAAGTAATTCCATCTGTGACGTATGTTGCACTCGGATCATATTTGACAATAAAGCTTGACTTGACTTGACATATTTAAAAATTTTGCCCTTTTGTCATTCAAAAACGGCCTGGGTACCTATAGGTCATGGTGTCAAACTCAAGGCCCGGGGGGCAGATTTGGCCCGCCACAACATTTTATGTGGCCCGCGAAAGCAAATAAACTTTCATGATGCTTGCTAAAATCTCTACCAACATTTCAAATTCTCATTTGTAATAAATAGGAGTGATACTGTAAACATTTTCTTGTGACCACACTCCTCATTACAGTAAGTTAAACAATAGGTGAATAAACCATGACTGTATTCTTGACTTCTTTATATCATGCTATTTTAAGTGCGCTTTCATCTGTAAATTTCACTGGTCTGCCAGTCTGCGAATCTGTCCGTCACCTGCCCCCACCAAAAAACACATCATAAGATAAGATAAGATAAGATATCCTTTATTTGTCCCACACTGGCGAAATTTACAGCCTTCAGCAGCAAGATTGTGGGTAGAAAGAAGAGAAAAGAAAACACAGTTCAATTAAGTGCAATATAAATACAAATATGGTTCAAGAGATGAAAAATCCAATGTGATTAAACTGGTTAATGGAGTGCACTATCAGTGTATCTATATCATACGGTGTATTCCCAAACACACGCTTAACTCACGTACATTTCACATACATTTATTTGCCAGTCTATTGAAATGTAAAAGTACAGTCAGCGGGGGCTTTGTTTGTTCGATAAGTTTTGATGATGCATTTCACAAAAGTGGGAAGAGTGAGTTTTCTGACCTCCGACCAGGAAAAGAGCCCTGGAATCCCCATGGAGAGACAGCCTGTGAATGACAAAACATAATTACAACAGCAAAATTGCTTTTATTTGGCAATTTCCAGCGAGTGACGTCATTTACAGAATGTCGCCAGTCAGTCATAGTAATGCATTGTTCATTGTCCTGTTAACTGCTCTTTGCCATTGTTATCAAGTTATTCGGAGAAATTCTTTGGTGCTGTGTGGCGATGCACTGTTCACATTCAGCTAAACAGTTGTTTGAGTGGCCAAAAGAAAACAATAGGGCAGGAACGTAAATGAACCAGAAAATTGGAACTGTTACAGTTTCGGTCTCACAAATCGAATGCATTTCATACCGGTGTCAACGAGCATTCCTTGTTACAGAAACTGAGAAGACCTCTGTTTTCTCAAACGGATTTGCAAGTAATCAATGAATAACTCTGGCTGTTGTTTTTAAAAACCTTCGATTCAAAGTATTATATGTGTACATGGATGTACTCCTGTACAAAAACATTCAAACTCTCAGGGTTTGCAACTAACAGTGCTGCCGATATAATGTGTGGAATGGCCGACAACGCAAGAGAACTATCTTAGCAATGACAATGTAAGACAACCACCCACTATAACGTGTGCTCTGAGTGCTAGCGGGAATACGTGGACTAAGTAGGTACTGTAATCCCATCATGTGCAATTGACAGCACGGCACAGCCTCAAATTGCAAACACTATTGCTAAGGTGATAACCGCACTCTATATAAGGTCTTGTCTCCACTCCATGTCCAGCCGCTCGAGGACAACATTTTCCGTTTCCTGAGCATCTGGCTCGTACATGTATTGTCCAACACACATCTTGCCAACAACCTCATCTTTCTCCAACTCTTCAAGCACGTGGATCCTCTCAGATAAATCTAAATATCGCTTTTCAATCGATTTCTGACTGGCTTTGTACACTTTCCATAGTGGGCCGCCCGGCTATTATTGTCTTGATATGACGTCACTCGTTTGTCGCTCGTCAGGATCTCACCTCGGAAAAACTATTACTTTGTCAAATGTACGAAATTGAAATGTTTTCTTAATGATTTATTTCATGTATTTTGTTTAATTACTGTACTTGTGACATCAAATTATTACATTTGGGATTTTCAAAAATTACACTTGACCATTGTATGTGAAAGTGTGAAAGACTGAATGAACGTTGGATGTCTACATGGGTGAAAATATCCTACGTTACCTACCAAATGTTACTTTAGCTGTATGCTAACTTCGGCTCATTTACGCAGGTGTTGGACCAGTGTTCATTAATGTGCATCGTCCCTTTCAAATAAAATGAATCAAAAAAAATTATGATGAAAAGTTCCACATTTTGGCTAGAGTTTGTATGTAACTGAGATATTATGAATAATGTATCACAATTTCCATGGCAATGCACATAATAAGAATAGTAATCGTCCCCTACATTAAGTGGGAAATTACATTTAGATACTCATTTCCTCATGGATTGCACAACCTAAGGTTGAAATGCACGGCCCGCCACTGCATTTCCACATGGATTGCACACAATGATCTTTCCACAAGTACATGCATTCATGGGAAAATGCCCAAGCCACACACAGTCATGAGCCGCTGGCTTCAATATTATTTCTATCCATCCATGTATTTATTTATTTTTACCACTTGTTTTGTTCAGGGTGACAGATAAACTCAAGCCTGTCCCAGTTGACTGGTGAGATCAGGAATATATGAAGGACAGGCAGCCAGTCAATCACAGGAGAAAATCACCACCAGCACTGGGGGAACATATACAAAAGGCACGAGCCAAGGTTCGAAGTAAGACCTTTGCGTTCTGAGGGCAATGTGCGGACCACGCTTTGATTGCCCTCAGTTGAGACAAATGAACTGATGAATTGATAGAAAGTAACCATAACTGTTCACACTTCCAAAGTAAGGTGCAAGCAGCAGCCATTACTTTTCATTCCAGCCTGTCAGACATCGACATCTATCTGGTGGGCTGAACACTTCATACACCACTTTTGTACTTCCTGTCTTCCTTCGTCCTTGAGGACAAAGGAAAAACAACAGACAATAGCACATGCATTGATCACCAAGGACGAGATTTTATTGTTTTGTCTCTTTGAGCCTCTCCTTCTGTTTTGTTGCCATCATTTTTCTTTCATGGTCAATTTTTTTTCTGCGTTCTCATGAGACCTCCCCAGCAAACAATTGAATATACTTTGTACAAACTGAACCGAAACATCAATTGAGTCTCCTCATTGTCCTATAAATGTGAGTCATTTGTCCTTGTCCTGTAAGAGATCGTTGTGAGAGTTATTTTTTTCTCTTCTTGCTTCATTGTAGTTTCTGATAAGAATGTAAAACAGGGAGATAAACCGACTGATATGCAAATTAATTCATTTGCCAGTGTAAGAAGACGAATAAATGCAAACAATGCACAGGAGATTTCTATGGACATACCATACTGACCTTTCAAAATATTGATCTAATGACACAGATATCAGAGTTGAAATTATTTTTCAGTATGTCAGCAATAGTTCCCTTTACGTACATTAACGCCCATAAGTGAGTGTTTTAATTTCAGGACCTGCGTTCGTGCCATGTTGGAGCATGAGGCTAAAACATTTATATCATTAATGCCCGCTGAGTCAACCCCAGACAGCTTGATGTCTGCCAAAATAAAAATATTTAAATGAAATGATGACTGTTTGCAACTGTCCACTCTAGTTCTGGACTTAGCTAATAAAAGACAAGGGCTAAACAACAAAAGAAATAAAAACAGTATTTTGTCATTCTTGGACGACGGCACCCAACTCGGGAACGACCTCCAAGCGGTGTTGGGTGTGCCTTTGGGCTACGAATAGTTCCCAGTCAACAGCCGACAACTGGGTCTGCAGGTCCTCGGGTCACTGTGGCTTTAGGAGCCGCTTTGGGACCCAGTTGGAGGTTGCACAACAGCAACAGCAACAGCATGAACAATCAAGAAAAAAAAAAGAAGAGATGATTGTCATACGGCTTGATTACGTGTAGTTTTCCATCTGCCCGTGTTACTGTGGCTGAGGTACGTCTTCCTTATCATTTCAAAGTTTAGACTTCTTGTAGGTTTTTCATTGCTTGTGGGATCGAGTTCTTTATCACTG